TGATGTAAATTTCCTCCTGTCTTTGAATAGTGGCTGTGCCTGAAAATTAACAAAACATATCAATTTCAATGCCTTAACATTTGTGCATACTGTACAAGTTTATGATGCTAAAAGATTGAGTTAGTCCAAGTAATTTATTATATAGGCAAAAATCGTTACAAACGATAAGATAATAACGATCTATATAATAACATAACTAATAAGATAAACAAAACTAACTAAATTGTAGATAAGATATTGTTCTATCGATCCATGTCCAAATAAGGATTGAGGACATACCCAAGTGACTAAGTTTTGTTCTTCATAAGGTCTTGAATGATCAATTACTCTTCTTCCTGTGATCATCTCCAAAAAGACTACTCCAAAGCTATATACATCTGATTTAGTAGTTAACTGACCTGTTGAGGCATACTCAGGAGAACAATAGCCATAAGTTCCCATCACCCTTGTGGATACATGTGTTTTATCACCTGTTGGACCAAGCTTTGCTAGTCCAAAATCAGATAGCTTTGGATTGAAGTTTTCATCTAATAGTATGTTTGATGCTTTGAAATCACGATATATCACTGGAGGGTTTGCTACATCATGTAAATATTCAAGCCCTTTTGCTGCACCTTGTGCTATTTTCATTCTAGTATGCCACTCCAAAGCCTTTCTCTCTGGACCCAGCTCTGCCAATTTACAAATAATGCTAACTAAGTACATCATTTATAAGTACAGTTTCTATAACACAGTCTACTTATATATTCAAGCAGCAAGTAAGTTTGCTTTATACCACTCCATGTGTGAAGACTCATGGTATTGTGATTGGTCAAACATTTTCTACAAATCTGCAACATTTTTAGAAGGACATTGTGAAAGAAGTGCATTTACTTACCAAGAAGGTGATCTTCTAAAGAACCATTTACCATATACTCATATACCAAAATCCTTTGTTCACCATCAGCACAATACCCTACTAAATTGACAAGGTTAGGGTGATGCAAGAGACTCAAAATCAAAACCTCAACCAAGAATTCCCTGTTTCCTTGAAATCCATTCCTGTTAAGTTGCTTCACAGCAACAACCTGCATTCATATAACACAAAATTTACAAGGTCACTTACAACCTCAATGGACTAACATTAGAAGCTATAGGAGTACTTCAAGAAGTAATACTTGATTTGTGCTTTTCATGCGTCCTTTGTATACTCTTCCAAAGCCTCCTTCCCCAATCATTTTGTTAGGGTGAAAGTTCTGAGTTGCGACCGATAGCTCGCGATAAGAAAATATATGAGAGGTCATATTTCCTTTTCCCATTTTTGCTATTTCATCTTCTATATACTTTCTCTTGCCACTGTCTACAATATAAAATTTTGTTCAACTCTTCAGCATTGCTATATATCTATAAGAAAGATAAGTTTGTACTACAGATTTTAGAACTGGATCAAATCAACTACACATTCTAAATTCTAAAGGTTCATCACAGTTAATGAAGTAGAAAGTAAGAGAACCTTATGCACTAACATTTCATAGATAACTAATTTAGGATTTCATGTTTACAAAAAAATTTTGTATTTGAGGTAAGTTATTCTATTCATAATAAAAACAACATTGAGCTATAGACATGAGACATTAATTTGCTCAACTTAGGTTCTAAAATCAAACAATACAATGATGGAAAGCAGAAACTCAGAACAGAAGGAAAAAAGTTTGTAGAATGATGAAAAGGATTTGCAAAGAGCTGAGAAAATTACCAGTTTTAAAAGATATGTTGGCAAATGATGGTAGGGTTTTTGCATCATGGTAGTCCTGAATGCTCTTCTTCAATGACTTTTTGTCAAGCTTCTCTTGTGAAGCACAGCATGAAAAGAAGCTCATTTTCCACTCCTATATATTTGATCTCACCAAAACAACATTTACAGAATTGCAATGCATCACCTTTTCAAATGTGTCTCTCATCATGCAAATGTTCATTAGCATACATATAATCCAAAAGCTGGTAACTTTAGACACTGCAAAAGTAGCTTAAAATCAAATTTCAGATGTTGTTAATTCAGACCCTGCAAAAACCAGATTGATTTTCTGGTTTCACAGAATCTTTCCTACACATGATAATTTTTCTAGCTTCATGTTCCTTCTAGGCCTTGGTTAGAAAAGGCAATGAAGACTAAGTCAAATTTGCTAATCCAAAAATAACAACTTATGCTTAATATCACTATCCAAAGTCCCTAATATAGGATTTCTTATGCAGTGGTTTCTCTCTGTCGTAGGTTCCACTTCATTATGGCAACCAAAAAGAGAGATCACTACTTTATGAATCTCATCAAGCATAAATAATGCCAACTATATATTATATTTGCATACATCTACCTCAATTATATCTTATGAAATAACTGGTGCACCTAATTTAGCCTATAGTCTAATGTATCACTGCTATAAAGTTTTCAATGATAATAAACTCAATTAAATGACATAAATCAACCTATCAAAAATATGTTTTTATCATTTGTGTCAAAACTCTTGTTAGTATACCAACCACTTGAGTAATGCTTAGGCGAGATATTGATTGAATATATGGCCTAAAAATGAATATATTAACATACCCATTAGTCCATTACATTACCTATTATTATAAAATAATTTTTCTATTGATCTGAATGATACAAAAATTATTATTATCATATCAGAATATATAATCCCTAAGATGACTTAACAAGTTTCTTAGAAAAGGATAATTAAAATACCCATAAAATCCAATAATATGAGATGGGAGGCTAATCATAACTAGTTTTATGATGAAAATCATTAGGCCAATCAAAGCCATTTACTTAACAGAAAAAGAAGGTAGCATAGGAATTTGAAAGTCATGGGTTTTCTATATTTTCCTTTTTTTAATTAAAAAGTTTTTAAATTAAAAAAAACACATGGTGCTACTTAGCAATATGTTTATGGAGGTTTTTTCATTGATTGAAGGACTAGACACAAAAGTCATGTAAAGTAAAATCAATAATACAAAACATAAAAATTTAGAGTGTTTTTAAAGGATGCCCTATTTACAATTATCAAAAACTTAAATTATCCCTTTGATCTTTATTATAAGTGATGATGTTCTTAGCCTTTTACTTTGATGTGTATTAATGAAATGAAGGGCTATCCGAATTAGCTAGCACCAATTAAAGAGAAGGTCTTAAATCAGAAACAATAAAAGGATAGGTTGAGCAGTTTTTTCATAGAATAAGTGGAAGTGTTACACTGTTATGCACAAAATTTAAGTTTGTAGATATAACTTGAAACCTGCAGAAAAAGGAAAAATCATCATCATATAATTTGTTGTCATTCATTAACAATGCAATGGAACTCTTTTGTGGGCAACCTTCACCTAATTCAAACACTAAGCAATTATGACTAAGAGTAATGGTATCTATCTTCTAAGGGATGAAGATCTCTGTCACAAATTGGTGTTTCTAATCATGTCTCCCCAAATAATATAATGTCGTTCTATTTTTGTTTCGCTAAAGGGAATGAAACGTTACATAAGAATAAATATTTTTAATAATATACGTAACATTATATTATTAGGCAGGACATCAACTTAGATAGTATCTTCACCCTCCTCTAACAGTTGCAGACACAAAATTAACCATGATTATTTTGGTTGGTTGGGAGCTAGTAACTGAACCAACATGTCATGAGTTCAACACCTAATTTAAAGCCCACTGTGATAGTAACTTAACCAAGCATAATGGTTTTTTATAGTGTCATTTTGTTTTGTATGAACTTTTATATCTCCATTGACCATTACAATGAAACCTCATCTCCTCCTCATGGAAAATTATTCACTTCAACTAATAATGGATTTTGTTACATGTTATGTTAGTATATTAATTAGAACTTTCCTCTCTTCTCATGCTCTAACAATCTCTCCCTCACACTTAGTACTTAACACTCATAATCTTAAATTAAGTTCATTGCATGTATATAGTAGCACCAACTTGTCTATTACTTTCCTATATAAAGGTTCTTGTAACTTGATCATTTCATACTTAAACAATATCTGTCAAAATGACAAAGTAAAAAAAATAGTTTATTGAGCATGGAATATGCATGGGTATTGCCCCCAGGAGAACAAACAATATTACAGAAGTTTTCCATTATGGCCTATTGACTTTGCTTAACTTTCCATCTTTTTTCTCACAACTTTTGAGGGACAAGGGATTTCAAGTCTTCCACAATACATGGAATCAAGAAGATGATAATCCACTTTCTTTCTTAGAATTATGGGCCAGTACAGTCAAGGATTTTAATTGTTTTAATCTCTAGATGGCATGCATATTCCACTTCGTGTCTAGTTCATATTCTTAACTGCTTCAAGTTTAAGAACCAACTAGTTTGCCCAATCTTTGACAAATAGTTTTGGTGAAGCCATGACTCAATATGACCATAACTTTGGAGTTCACTCTGACAAGGTCAAACAATGGAAATCAGCTTTCTATGATGTCTCCAACTTCAGCTGATGGCATCTCCAAACTAATGGGTATATATACTAATCTTCATTCCTTTTAACTCATCTTCAAATTCCATAATTAATGTCTATCATATAGACTATACTAGTTGAGCATAGTTTAATTATATTTTGATGAAATAAATAGTAGAAATAACTCCATGTGGGATACAATTTTTTGGATCCTCTCCTTATGATACATTGACAACATAATTTTTAATGGTCAAAATTTTAAATTACATATAATTATATCATCTCTTAAATATTTAAGAAAGCTTTAACATTAAGGAAAAACTCCCCCCTATACCCGAATTAGGAGGGAGGCATGAAGGAAAAAATATTGAGAAAACTCCCATGTGGGAGCCGATCGATTTATGAGGGAGAAACAAAAGAACCCAAATGTGTAAAAGTTACACCAAAATGGTAAATAATGCAAAAGGTGCACCAACACTTTAATTTTACGGTCAAAGTGTGCCATATCATATACGTAAATTTGCCATCTTAACTCTTGGATATGCAGCAGCAAGTCAGATATCAAAATATGCCTCAAATGGTTGAGTTCAAAAAGGACTTCCCCTTTCACACATCTAATTGATTCATTAACCTTGCATGTTATTTACTCCTCAATCTATTAACAAAATCACATAGATCAAATCACCAAAACAAAAAGAATAAGAAGTTGGTGGAATGTTTCCCACTTGTAAATGAGACATTGACATAAACCAAAGAAGCTGAAATGCACCCAGATTGTTGAAAATAGAGGGCAAAGTAACAAGTTAGCCATCTCCCAATAAAAACAACAAATGGGATACAAATAACAGATCCAATAGGTAAAAAACATACATGCCTCATTAATAATAAAGAATTAAGTGAGAAAAAGAAGGTCTCAAAAGGAAAACCCTAAAGAGAAAAGCTTCATATTTTGAAAGTTGATATTACACAGCTATGACTCAAAACGCTTCCATTGTTTATGAGGAAGGCGATCTTAAGGGCCGTGCTTAAAACACTTACACATTATGAATCATAACAATGAATGGTAAAACACAATAAATTAAATATTTGAGCATCCCTCAGATTTTGTTTCTCCTCAACAAGATTCAGTCCACTACTTTAATATTAACAAAAAATCATCATAGGGATGCAACAACATAACAATCATTCACAAAAAAAAAAAGTAGAATTGTGGATCTGAATAAGACCCATCAACCGTAGAAACATAACCAAAGATATGCATAAAAATGATAGGTTAAAAAAAATAAACTTTTTTGTTCTTTGAAACATGGGTTGGAGCAATGAAATCGAAAAACAGAACAACGCCTCAGTTCAGAAGCGGCAGACAGTGAAGGTTGTAGGGTTTGGGTGGTATTTAAGGTAAAGAACGGAACGTAACTTTCCGATTTAGTCCCTAAACATTTTATATAAATACGCTTCTACCCTTACCCTCTAAGTAATGTATTAAATAATTACAAAATAACTATCATATTTTTAATGATAAATATTTGCCTAACATTTGCTTTGGGTTGGGGAGTCAGGACATGAAGATAAAGATGTAAAATATTTGCCTAACATTTATACCAAAATTTACACATCATATTTATCATGTCTACATATATAGATTTTTAATGATAAATGATTCTACTTGGTAGTTTGACTGTTTGAACAATTGAAGCAATAGTTGTTTGTCATCTCCGAACCAGTGTTTGAAGTTGCGAATGGTTTAGTTCCTTCCTTTCTTTTTTGTTTGCAGGGAGAAGATATAATTGCTTTGATACCTTTGGACGAGTGGTGGGACTTTGAACTGACTAAAGACGATTCTAATCCCCATATTGCACTGCTTCCTTTGCACCCAGACATACGTGCCAAGTTTAATGAGACTGCTGCATGGGAATATGCATGGAGCATGGCCGGAAACCTATATGGTTACCATAACATGATCTTCAGTTGGAAAGACACTTTAACTAGCAACTATCTGCCCCCCTTGGATGCTAATGTGGTATTAATTTGATTAGCTTTCTGCTTAAATTTTCGGTTTAAGTCTGTTTGATTGTGTTGTTGCCCTCTAGACTCCTACCTCTAATATGAATTATTTTCAAACAAGAATCGAAGTAACCATAATCTTGATCTGACACGGTTACACCTAAAAATACTATTGCTATTTAATTCATTCACTTTCTTTTAAAAGAGTGAAGAATAAGTTCACAAAATGTGCTATCAGCTATTTTCCATGTGTAGTCTCTGTCTTCTCTCAGTTCATGATTGAGTCTCTTGTGCATTTACTTTGTTGCTCTTGCAGGTTGCTTGTGTTATGACAATTTGGAGTCAACTCCAACCTGAATATGCTGCAAATATGTGGAATGAAGCCTTGAACAAACGACTGCTAGAATTTTTGCATGTCCCTTGCTAAAAAAATTGTTTCATTATGACACCCCAACTAGTGGGATTAAGGTTTGGTTATTGTTATACTTGTCTCGTTTTGAAACTAAACATTTTTAGTTTATGACAGTAAATTGAACCGATGTTTTCATTTTTTTAGCATAAGATTCTTTTGATGTGATCTATTGTATAGACTATAAGAGAACAGAGAAAACAGAGAAAAAAGAAGAAATGGAATTTGAATTTTGATATTATAAAATTGTTGGTTACAAAAGGAGGGAAAGTGAGGTTTATATAGTGAAGCAAGTCACAATCTTCCCTCACTTTACAATAGACTTAAACACAAACAAAATATCTAATCTCTACTTTATTCTAATATAGACTAATAAGCAATTAGCAATTGTAATTCATTTCTTTATATATTCAAAAAATTGTTGTTGTACCAAATGTCATCACGTCTGACATATTAGGCATCATTTTATCATATAGTGCTCTGTGATAATCTGGAATTTCACTATCACCTGAAAACTAGTGAGTTTGTGTTTCTACAGGGACTTGGACTTCCAGAAGTTTTAGTAGAAGTTGAAAAACGTGGATCATCTTTTGATGAGCTACTGACAATTCCAGAACAGGATGATTGGAACTACAGTGATGGGAAGTCAACTTCTTGCATTGCTTTTATACTTGAAATGTACAAGGAGGCAGGATTATTTGATCCAATTGCTAGTTCTGTCAGTTTATCTGGCAAAACTTGCTCTGTCTTTTGGTTTGCTATATTAGTGTTTTTTTAATCCTACACAAAGTTCATATGAACGATTGAGATATCAAATGTTCATCTTGGTTGTGCATATATTTTCTGTGCTCTTATAACAAAGTTTAGCTGAACTGTAGTCAAATTTTTGTACTACTGCAAACATGACTACTATATTGATCAGTAGGTAGCCCAATGCACTAGATTCCCTATCTCATCCTTCAATAAATTTAAGAATGAGACCAAGTTGTTTGTATGCCAGATACGAATTTACAATGTATATGACTTCAATGACTTTGGACTTTTAAGAACTTTTGTGCTCTAGTTTTTTGACCAAGGTGTATATGATCTTATTTTTATGCAGATAAAAGATGCTTACATTCTCAATATTTTCGAGAACAATTCCAGTCGCTTGCCGAAATGGTGCAATGATGGAGATGCAGTGAAGCTTCCTTATTGTCAGATTAAAGGCAAGTATCGAATGGAGTTACCTGGATACAACACCATGCAACCATATCCTCATATGAATGAAAGGTGCCCATCTCTTCCTCCCAACTACCAAAGAACCCAGAATTGCTAACAGTCTTCAGTTATCCTTGGGATGACTTCTTCACCACATTCTTTGTGTGCTCTATATTTTGTATTATCTAGGACACATCAAATGTATCATTCATGTTATGTAAATAGATGGGATTTGATTTTCTGTATACCACGCAAGTTTTAATTGAATATTTAATTATTTATATCATACATAAAATATATTCCAATTTCCAAGTTTGCATCTCCAATTTTTTATATTGAGTCTAGTAACATTAATGTTGAATACTTGAAAATTGTTCTGCACTGTAACTTTTAGTTATTTACAGACAATAGATATTGGCAGATAGAAATATGTACTATTAGATTAGCTTTCTTGTCAATGCATGATTAGATCTCATTCTCACATAATTCATTTAAGATTTAAGATATCAGGTATAACAGAAACAAGCCAAGAGAATTTTACTCTATAGTGTATGGACAAATGAAAAGTTGCAGAGTAGTCAAATAATAAGTCTGAATAAGCACCACACCTATCTCATGTGGTGGATGAAGTGGACATAGTTTTGCTACATGTATAATAACTTTAGTTCCATACTCTAAAATCACTAAACATACAAGTACAATGATATATGTCAACCATCTAAGAAAGGCATGAAGATCACCTTACATACTCCTGTTATTATTGTAAGAAAAGATTTATGATAAACCATTTTATATTATTCAGCCTTCGTAGGAAGATGATTGCCACCAGTTGCTAGTTTGAAGAGATAAAACACAGTCATGAGAGCACTGCAAGGAAATGAAAGTTAAACATCTTTACATATGATGCAAACAGTAACTTATATATTTATACAACAAATCAAAATTAACCTTTCAGGATTTGATCATGAGAATAAAATAATACATATCCAGCACAAATGGATACATTAAGTGAAAACACTATGAAGGTTGTCACCAACCTGTTTTCTACACAGTTCTTGGTGACAAGTGTGAAACAATTGGACACAATCTAAACTAAGTAACGTTTGCTACTTGCTAGTGCTTTGTTCCTGACTTTTTGTTTGAAAAATAATATATAGATAGATCTTCAAATGACAATGAGATGCTAGAACAAATTTAGAGGAACTTGCACAAAACAAATTTAAGATAATAATATCACACAAAAAGTTTCCTTTAAAATAAAAAATGGAGATTTCATTGTTTAAAACATTTTAAAGAACACATTTTTTTGACACATGCATTTACTTTTCATAAAAGATATGTTCATGGATTAATAATATTTGACATAAGAGCTACCAACTTATCCAAAAATTTAATCTTAAATTAAAAGGATTGAATTTAATTCCTACAAGTCTGCATGGGAATAGAACAATTTCAGAATATGAGCTAGAGTAGTTGTAATCAATCCTTAGATTACCTGATTCCTGCAACAAGACCAGCAGGCATAACCTTGGATGTTTCGATGTAACGCTGCCCCATGACCCAAGTTAGTGCTGCTGCACAAACTGTTTTGAAGGATACAAATTAGTAAAACAACATCATCCAAGCCTTTATCCCACTAGGTAGGATCTGCTACATGTATCGAACAACGTCATAATATTCTATCATAAATAATGTTCATCAACAAAACATTGATTTATAAGTCTTTCTTAGTCATTCCGCCTATGGTTTTTCTTGATCTCCCTGTTCCTCTAGGAATTGGACTAACCTCCAATTTTATCTATTATCCGTACAAAGCTTAAAGTATGATCCATAGTTAATGCAGCAAACATAGCTTGTCAAGTGAATACAGAGTAACAGACATACATATTGTTGATGCTTAATTTTGGGATTGATAACGATATATTTGTACCATGTTAAAGTTTGTGTATGTACTTGTATTATTTGATAGAAGCAGTACCGATGATTGGTCCATTCAATAAAGCTTATCCATTTGCTATTGATTCATAATTAAAATAAATGTTATAAAAAGTGAATAATGAAAGGGGGAACGTACTAGTCTCAAGGGTGATGGCAAAGTAAGAATTTTTACGATTGCGAAAAGCATTGAGACTGAGATAAGAAGCAAAGATGAGAATGAAACCAGAAACAACGCCACCAGCAAGAGAAGCAATGCTCCCTTTGTTAATATAACCCAAAACTCCTCCACATACTAACACCAATCCGTACGGTATCGTGAAACAGAAATCGTGCATTTTCCCTGATACTTCTATCACACACCAATTCCTTCAGATCTCAAAATCTCTCTCTCTCTCTCTTTGTTAGTGGCGCGTGGATTCCACAAGTCAATATCAATTATCATCTACTTTTGCCCTTTGACTACCCTATATTTTCATAATTGCCCTCATATTATTATCTCTACTTTTTTAATTGTTGGATGAGAATTTCATGTAATTTTTATACACATATAATAAATATAGGGAATGAAGAGAACTGGAAAAAAGACTTACCTCACTCTTAAAATGAATGATCATGAT